AGAGGAGGGCGGCCTCCTACAGAATTCAATGTAGAGGTCACCTGACCGGAAGGCATTCATCAACAAAGACATGGTCGTCTTATCGTCCATCTCTTCTACCTTGTCAACCTCATCCCTCCAGCGGGTTAAGAATTGAGTCAAGGTCTCCTTCTCCCTCTGCCCTACCGTGTTAAGGTAGGTAAACTTCTTCCTCTTGATGCAGTTGTCCTGGTACTTCTTGCGGAAAACTTCAGCAAGTTTCTCAAAGGACCCAATCCTGCCATGGGGAAGGCCGTTAAACCATTCCACTGGCCTCCCTCTCAAGGATGAAAAGAAGAGCAGGCATTCCTCAGCATCAATGCACCCGGCCATCTGTGCTGCATTGTGGAAGGTGTCAAGGTGGACGTTTGGATCCTCCTTTCCAGTGAATTTTTCCACGTCCAGCTTGACCTTACGCCTCAATTTTTGTGCATGTACCCTGGCCGAACAGGGTGATTTGGCCAGGGTGTGCTTCTTTGCTCCCGCCTTCTCTTCCACCTTTTCTTCCAGGGCACGTAGTTTCCTTGCTACGCTCCCTATCTTGTCCAGGTCATCCTCATCGTATGAGAGCCTGGTATATGCCGACGCCCTGGCCTGGCTTTCTGCTTCCTCCTCGTCTTGGCGAATCGTCTCAGATTCCCTAGAACGACGAGATTGGGCGAGACGACTCCCGCCAAGTTTTTCCATTGCGCTAGTCCGGCCCATCTCAGGACCAAGACGTAGCTTGGCAGACTTGCGGGGTCCATGCTCTTTGTCCCCTAGGCGTTTGAAAGCCGAATCTCGGGTCTTGCTGGGTTTGGCTATAGCCTTACCCTTCCTCCTGCGGGCCGCCTCTTGCTCCGCCTCATCGACCTCACGGACATTTGAGGGTGCTGCTTCATTCATGGTCCCCGCAAGATTCACCGGATGTATAGGGACCATCCTAGGGACAAATGTTGACAAGGTCAACACCGGAGGTGGCATAATTGGTGGCGTCATGCCAGGATAGGCAAATGGCATGAAGCTCCTTGCCTGTTGCATCATGGCTATCACCTGTTGATAGCCCTGTAGAGCCTGAGCATTTGCCGGGTCAGCAGCAAACTGAGCCCAAGCTGATGGATATGGTGTGAATGCTCCACCAGGCGTTGTTATCGAGCCTGGGAACATTGTTGTCGTCGGCGTAGGAGTAGGGGTTGACATGATTGGGATCATGCCAATCGATCCTACAGTGGTGATCGGAGCAAAGGTCGTCCCCATGCTCGACATCATCAATGGGATGGCAGGAGTGCTTTCACTCGCAGCCTGGCTTGACACAGCGTTGTAGTTGCTTGAAGACATGATTGTGGATATTTAGTGGGGGTAAAGTTTTGACCTGGTCGAAAAAACTTTAAAAATTGGTCCCACGGGTGGCGCCAAAAATGATGGTGTAAATATAGCTAGGTGGGTTAACCGGGTTTGACCTGGACACACTCGACCCGTAATATAAAACACACAACAAGAACACAAAGTATGACCTAGACCGGGTAAATCTCCTCAGTCCGAATTATATTTCTTACTCTATCTCAAGAGTGAACTTTAGTGAGAGAAAATTGGATCCCCTCCTCTATCCCATATCATCATATTTATAGAGAAGGATTTGTGACCTTTCCCTCTTCATCCATGGACAAAATAGGAAGCCCGTGGGAAGGTCACTGTACATAATCAATCTACTATTCAATCAATGAATTTAGCAACTACAAGCCAAGACATGTACTGTTCAATCAAAGACTATAAATGGATATTCTCAATCCAATCAGCCCTGCAAAGTGACAAATGTTCCTTTCACTATTTGCCTCGTGAAGGCCGAACGGAGGGGTGGTCCCCTGGCCTTTGATGTTGATTGTCATTCCCAAGTGACGCAACCTTACCGGTCATCTTTCTTCCAAGGTTGTCCGGTCATTTCTTGAGTTCGACCCGTCTCTTTGGTCCTCTGGACTATCCTTCGTAACATGAAGTGACGAATTGGCTAACGCCCAAAATGTGACCAGTCACTTTTTTAGTGGAAGTGACCGGTCAACTTTTGACCCGTCTCAATCGAAGAGTTAACATCATTTGGTGACTTGATAAAAGTGACCGGTCATGTTTTGACCTGTCCCTTTCGGTTATCCGGGTCGGGTATAAGGATGTACCCATCAATGTCTACTTCTTTTAAAAAAAAATTTTTTCAAAAATTAAACATATAAAAATATAAAAAAAAGAGGGAGTCATGCTTTGCACATGCAATGAAAAGTTGGGTGAAATGACCATAAAATGCCATGATTTGAGTAACATTTACTGACATGGCTAGGCATGGCAAGACATTGCATTGCCATTGTGAATGCTCTACATTGTACACCGTATCAAATAAACGGGGACCATATCCTTTATTCCATATTTCTTAGAGGGACGCGGGAAAGGGAATAAATGAATTATAACATTGCCTTATCGGGAGAGAATGGATGAAATGGAGGGAAGGTATCAACATAATCAAAATCAATATTATGCAATGCTCATTATTTTTCCATTGGTCCACTAGGGGAATGTGTTAGTTTTTCACTTTTCTTTGTTAGTTTTTTATAAATCATAAATTTTTGCTTTCAAAAAAAGCCTAGAATGAGTTAGGTTATAATAATTTTGGAATGACATCGAAGTTAACCACCACAGAATAAAAACGGTTGAGCCTCAACTCCGATGGCTCCTTCAGACCCGTTTGGACGGTTTCAAAAGAAGTTAAATTGGACTTTAATCGCAGATTGATGATAAAGAGTGTAACATGCGCTAGGTATTTACAAAGCGCATATGTTTAACATAATTATCTCCCAGCGTACTTACCAGAAACCAAACTCAAGTATTACTTCTTTAACATTTCTTGTCTTTGTCAACTATGCAAGCGAAACATGGGTGCGTAATTGTTTACAGAGGGTATGAGACAAGTAGTGGTGTCAAATGTCATTCCTCCGCCTAAATTGAATGGAATGAGTATAAAATCAAATGAGTGAGTAATGTTGGTTGATTTTGAAATGTAGTGTGAACGATGTGACGATTCAATAGCTGTACATTTTAATTGGAATACAATAATTGTGCAAGACTAATTAGATAACAATGACTGTGCATATAATTGATAATATTAAAATAATTAGTTTTGATTAAATTTATTTAAAATTAATATATAATTAAATGTGAAAGCTAAGTCATATAGTATATAAAACCTATAAAAAAGGCTAAATTGCACAGCTGGTCCTTCAAGTTTTTGCGTCATACACGGTTAGTCCTTCAACTTTATAAAGTTCACAAATAGTCCTTCAAGTCACGTTAACGTTGCACGATTGGTCCTTCCGTTAAGTTTTCCGTTAATCCATGTATTTTTCTCATTTTTCATTATAAATACACGTGAGAAATGCGTCATACACGGTTAGTCCTTCAACTTTATAAAGTTCACAAATAGTCCTTCAAGTCACGTTAACGTTGCACGATTGGTCCTTCCGTTAAGTTTTCCGTGAATCCATGTATTTTTCTCATTTTTCATTATAAATACACGTGAAAAATGCTCTCTTCTTCATACAATTGAGTCATATTTCATGTAGATCCGTTGTAAATGAAATGTTAGATAACAAATTGACCCTGATTGACTGCAAACAATCAAAACTTGATATAGTGGTAGATTCACTTAAAAAGAGTAGAGGGCAAATGCCCCTAAATAATTTTTTGTGATAAGGTTAAAAATATTATTTTTTAAAATTTTATATACATATGCCTCCAACAAAAAATTAATGTGATCTTATCTAATCAGGTCAAATATAATTTTTTGTTTAACTTTTTTAGTAAAGAGTATTTTATTGTATAAAATTAATTGTTTATAAAATAAAATTTCACCTTACATATTAAAAAATATTTTACATTTAATAAATATTTGAAATAAGACATTATTTTTTGTCATTTCAAATAGTCTATTAAAAAAATTTAGCGACGCTGTCCTCGGACTCCCGATGAATGCTACCCCATCTACTTCCATTCCTGGATCCGCCACTGACTTGATAAATACTTTAAAACGGAGTGTGTATCTTTTCAAAAAACAAAATGGACTAATAAAAGCAAGAATGACATATTATTATTAAAACAATGGACTAATAAAAATAAGAATAACTTCTTATTATTAAATAAATGGATTTATATTAAATAATATTCAATTGTATGAATAAGAGAGGGTTCCTCACGTATATTTATAATGGAAAATTGAAAAAATGAATGGACTAACAGAAAAATTAACGGAAGGATCAATTGCGCATCGCTAATGTGACTTGAAGGACCATTCATGGACTTTATAAAATTGAAGGATTAACCATGCATGACGCAAAAACTTGAAGGACCAATGGTGGAATTTAGCCTATAAAAAATTCTACTACGTACAAAAAAAGAAAGAAATATGCTATAGGGAGTATAAATTTACTCGGGTATAAGACAAAATGACAAATAGTGAATATTTGTAAAGGAAGATTTCATTGACTTCATAAATAGGAAATATGATTTTTTTACCGATGAATAGAGTACAATTTGAACAAAATTGTTAGGGTACACCAAAATATATACCAAATCATTTTAACTAGTACTCCCTCCGTTTCCCAGTTTTTATCCACTTTTAACTTTTGGAACTGTTCATCTAAGCACTTTGACTCATCAAATTCTCTCAATGTGTAAGCCTAAATATAGTCATGTGTGATCTTGTTTGATTTGTCTTAACATATAGATTATTAATATATAATTTCTATAATTTTTTAATATACAAATTACGAGATAAAATTGATTAAAGAAGTGCATTGGATGATGTGCAAAAATGAAAGTGGACAAAAACTGGGGGACGGAGGGAGTAATTTATACAGCAGTTGCTTACACCAGTTTGTTTGGGGTACCTACTATGCTCCATTTGTAAAAATGACGGTTCCTAACCAGTAACTTATACACCAATTGCTTACAACGGCATACTGCCAGGGTAGGGAGGGGGGCTGGGGTGGGGGGGCAAGGGTGGGGCTGGGGTGGAGGGTTTAGGGGGAGGGTTAGGGGGATAGGAACCGTCATTTTTACAAACGGAGCACCGTAGGTACCCCAAACAAACTGGTGTAAGCAAATGACACCAGTAGCACTGGTGTCATTTTAGACTTACCGATTACTATTTTGCATAAAATAAAAATAATACCTAAAATTTTATGATGTTTGATTGAAATTATAATAATTTTAATTTATTTTTTAGTTAATTTATATTTAAAATAAAACTTACATATCGAGAAGTACAATAAAAGTTTTATAAAATAAGGATGTTTTTATTTTTCTTTATATATTTTGTCGAATCTCCAAAAATATTCAAATGAATTTTTTTTCACAAAACATACTTCGTATTAGAAGGAATTGTATTTTTCAAATGTTAGGAATCCTAGTTTAGATACTCCCTCCGTCCTAAAACTTTCTTCCCGTTTCGCAAAACGATGAAAAATCTCAAGTTTTTTCAATCTATTTTATTTAAATATTGGTATAGAAATAAAAAATAAAACATACATATTTAAAAAACTACATCAAAAGTTCAACAAAACAAGTGGTGACAAGAATATTTTATTTTATCATATAGGCCATGAAAAAACACAAATAAATATAAATTACCGTGAAGTTGGAATAGTGCTCTGGGAATAAAGTTTTAGGACGGATGAAGTAATAAAGAAATCTTTAAAACCAAGAAGAAATTGTAAGACTACTCGGCATGTTTTTAGTATGATTGAGAAATTTACTTAAATAGCACTAAAACATAATAATTTTCCCAAATAGCACCACATGTGTTTTTCTTCCCAATGTAGCACTTTTAGTTATTTTGCATTAGTCATTATTCAAGCAAATATTTGTCATCACAGGACATTATGGACATTATTAAGTGTTATTTAGAAAATAAAACAATTTAAGTGCTATTTAGGGAAATAACTTAAGTTTTAGTACTATTTAGTGCAAATATTTCTTCATTGAAAAATGCTAGGGGTACACCTTTGGTGTACCCCATTTGTCCCCCACCCCTCCATCACCACAAAAAAGACAAGAAAATAAAAAAAAATTAAATAAATAAAAATAAAAAAAAAATGTATGGTGGAGAAATGAGTGAGGTACACCAAATGGTGTACCCTAGCATTCCTCTTATTCATTTAATTTCCTGTTTATTTTAACAGTTTTGAGAGGATATATGACTGTGACGGTCCCTTGCAATTTGATTGTGTAGCTAGCGGCTGAGTTCGTGGGAACATTCATCCTCATATTCGCCGCAACAGCGGGACCCATAGTGAACCAGAAGTACAACGGCGCGGAGTCGCTGATCGGAAATGCCGCCTGTGCCGGGCTTGCCGTCATGATTGTCATCCTCTCCACCGGCCACATTTCCGTAGCTCATCTCAACCCGTCCCTCACCATCGCCTTTGCCACGCTCCATCCGCCACTTCCCGTGGGCCCAGGTGCCCGCGTATATAGCGGCACAGGTGTCTGCGTCCATATGTGCCTCCTTCGCTCTCAAAGGAGTCTTCCACCCCTTCATGGCCGGCGGCGTCACCATCCCTTCCGTCGGCACTGCCCAGGCTTTCGCCCTCGAGTTCCTCATTACTTTTAACCTCCTCTTCGTTGTCACCGCAGTTGCCACTGATACTCGAGCCGTAAGTACCTCACTACTACATATTCCATATCATTTATTCTTTAATGATGATCAAGTGACTCCGGGGTTCAGTGTCATCCGATGAAACTAGTCCCTACGGCGCTCTGTCTAAAAAATTGGTAGTTCTTACTCCTTTAACCCCGGTAAACACCTCACTCTGGTTCGACTCTGAAATAACAACTACCTCGTCAATTGGACCATCCAAGTGTAGTTGCCTTTGGGGTGGTCAAATTGACTGGGTGGTGGTGTTTTTTGGGGTCGGACTAGATTATTGGAGGAGTTTATCGTGGTTAGAGTAATAAAAACCATTAATTTTTTGAACATAGCATCGTGATTCAAATGAGTCAATGTCATTGGATGACATTTGCCTCCATTGTCCCCGGAACCGGCCCGTTTATTCTTTTTTAATTGACCATTATGACTATCTTCATACATGAAAAATGAATGAAGACAACAACTTTGTTACTATTTCATTTGATAATTTATCAGGTGGGAGAACTGGCAGGCATTGCAGTTGGAGCTACCGTTATGTTGAATATCCTCGTAGCCGGGTGAGTATAATAAGTTTGTTAATGATATGTTTGGGAATTTTGATTTGGATTTCAACTTTGAATTTGATTCAAATTCTATGTTTGAAAAACTTTAAAAAATTGAATTTGAATCAAAATTCGTTTTCATCTCTAACAAAACTCATACACCTCACATTCTCATTTAAAATTCAAGAATTCAAATTTTAGAATGGAAATGATTAAACGCTAGCTCCCAAATATAACCTAAAGTAAATTACAAATTTGTAAAATGTGGTGGTTTTCATCTCCTATTTAATACCAAGACTTGGTAATTAATTCGATCAATAATGGTGGTTGCATGCAGGCCGTCGAGCGGTGGTTCGATGAATCCAGTGCGTACACTTGGGCCGGCAGTGGCAGCAGGGAATTACAAGTCAATATGGATGTACCTCGTAGCGCCAACACTCGGCGCCCTCGCCGGAGCCACCATCTACACGGTGGTTAAGCTTCGAAAAGAGGATGCACCCGTCAGCCACCCCAGGAGCTTCCGCCGCTAGCTAGCTAGCTAATTATCAGGCCGCTCCCGGCATATATCCATCGGAAAAGCATATTGTAAATATATAACAATATTATTATTTACCATCCAGTGACTTCAAGTTGTGTCTCCTACCGGTACGTTGTGCTTATGTTATGTATGTGTCGTCGTCCTCTTATCAGAATAAATTTGCATGACAACACCATCATGTAATTGTGTGTATGTCAACAATGAAGTGGAGTGTGTGCTACATACTCAAACTATTCACTTGTGAGATACTGTGATATACACCGTATTATACTATACTCTATGCATGTAAAATGTGTTTCCAAATTATCGACTACCTGTGCTGATTTTTCATCCATCATACTTAGGCTCTGCTAGGGATGGTTGTCGTGTTCCCGACGGCCGACGGACACCTAGGCTTCCCACCGCCACATCAAAGCCTTCTCGTCGGAGAGGCACATCGGAAAAGTGTGAGGAAATTAATCGATATATAAGCTCTTGAGTTGAACTAAGTAATCAATTGGTTTCAATCTTTTAATGTGGTTCAACCCAAGTGTCTTATTACCCTAATCCAATTGTCCATACTCATCCTAAATTCTATCATGGTATCGGAGCAGGTTTAATTTTGGCCCACCTCGTTTGTCAAGGTGTCCGTCTAGACGTTCATTCATTGCGGCCCGTTTGTCTTTAGCCCAGTGTTCTGTATGGAGTATGTACCCAACGGCCTGTGGCCCGTTTAACACGATTGCTCGTCTGGAAGTCCATACCCAGCAGCTCGTGGTCTTTTAGGTGTTGGCGCTCAAAAAAAAGAAAGAAAGTCAAGGGAATGGAAGTTCATTTGCAAGTAGTCAACCGGTTAGATTTAAAATGACCCCGTTGTCCACTTGAGGGGGAATGTTAAAGAGAGCATCCCACATCGGAAAAGTGTGAGGAAATTAATCAGTATATAAGCTCTTGAGTTGAACTAAGTAATCGATTGGATTCAATCTTTTAATGTGGTTCAACCCAAGTGTCTTATTGCCCTGGGAGAAAGAAGGAGAAGGGAGGAAGAAAGAAGACGAAAAAGGCGCGCGGGAATTGAAGAAGGGGATGATATGGCAGTCTCACCGTACCAATCCCGCGTCCCAGGTGAACGGGGCGGTGTCCCTACAGAGTATCGCTGCCACACCGCTTCATGTTCTCCCTTTTCGTGACGATACTGCGTATGCCTTATAATGAGGTTAGGAGTGAATTTATTAATTGTTTCAATCAAGCTGATAATATGTTGAATAACGAAAGTGAACTGAATGATGTGTAATTTTGGCAATGAGTGGGGCATTAATAAATATTACTCTGTAAGAAATTAATGAAATTTGCACTAAATAGGACTAAAACATAAGTCATTTCCCAATGTAGAATTTAAACTTTTTTATTCCCTAAATATGACTTAATAATGTCTAGTGGTAGAAATAATGTTCAGTAATGATGGACATTTGTTTGAATAATGACTAATTGATAATAACCAAAGGTCCTACATTGGAAAACAAAAACATATGGTCCTATATTGGGAAATTCATTATGATATAGTCCTATTTAGGTAAATTTCTCTAAGAATTAAGACTAATCATAAATAATGAAAGAGATGAAACTATATGAATGTCTTGTATGTTGTGCATTTGATCCCTTCTCCTGGTGTGGAGAGAGTGTTTGCATTACATAAATAAGTTGGGTAGTTATGATCCTCAAATCGTAAAACTGAATGTGGATCCCTTACTTAACCAAACATTGCTTGCTACGTCATTCAACCTCTCTGCAACGGTTCTTGATTCGGCATCAAGTTACACACATCCCATATAACGCGAGATTTCACCTTGCTTTTGTGTCGGGCCCCACGCCCCATATCACACGGCTTTGTTGGTTTGGTGGACCGAGCTCCCTGCCCTAGGTAAAACAGTGGCTGTGAATTGAAGACTCTTCAAGGAGTGGTTCCAATAATGACGGAACTAAAACCTCACAAACGGAACCAAATTAAAACCTCACAACTCACAAGCAAGCTGTAATGGCACATTTATTATATTACGAGAGTTCAAGGGCAACGCCCCAAATTTTTTTCTTTTTTACAAACACAAGAAAAAAAGAAAAAAATTAAAAGTAAATTCCATAAAAGATCCTATGTTTTAAGTCGTTTTACATATTTAGTCCCTACATATCAAATATTAATAATTTAGTCCACAATTGTTATATCATTTTCCACGAATGGTCCTTTGTCAATGTTTCCAATAAAAACATAGATAAAATTGTATATTAACACTTCTCTCTCCCCTCAATGAAGCTTCATCCATCCTCTCATACTCCTTCCCCAACCCGTCTCTGAGTTTGAAGCTCTAAATCTAAAATAGAAATGATCACTTCTCTCTCAATTGTTCATATTCCTGCTGGAATCCAAAATCAAAACCAATAACCTTTGAGCATGAGCTTTATGAGTTGGTTTCAGAAAATTGCAAAGAAAATAAACCTTAGAACTCATCATGAAGGTTACTGGTTTCAACTTTGGGTTCCACCAGGAAGACAAATAATTGAGAGAAGAGTGATGATTTTGGTTTTGAGCTCAAAGCTTCAAACTCAACGACGAATTTGGGAAAAGAGTACGAGGGGAGGGAAAAAACTTAATTGATGTGAGAAAGGAGTGTAAATTTATAATTTAATCCACGTTTTTAACGGAAATGTTAACAAAAGGACCATTCGTGGAAAACAATATAATAATTGAGGACTAAATTATTGATATATGATATGTGGGGACGAAATATGTAAAATGAACTATAACTAGGGATCTTTTATAGAATTTACTCAAAAATTAATACTCCCTCCGTCCTAAAATTAACTTCTCATTTGACTTTTCACGGTCTCCAATGCGACACTTTGACCATCAATATCTCAATTTTTATATAAATATATTTTATAAAAGTTATATATTTCAAAACTATGTTTCAAAATGAATCTATTGCTAATAAGTTTATATGAAAATTCAATGTATTTTTTCCGTGATATATAGTCAAAGTTTAAAAAGTTTGACTACAAAAGTCAAACTGGGAAATTAATTTTAGGACGGAGGGAGTAATTTTTTTCTTTAACACTCAAATAATTCAAATAACTTAATTAAATTGCATTATTAATAGTTATAAATGTTATTAAAAATGACTATAATAGCAAAAATTTAATTTGGTCGGAGGGGGGGGAGAGGAAGAAGGAGAAGGGAGGAAGAAAGAAGACCAAAAAGGCGTGCGGGAATTGAAGAAGGGGATGATATGTCAGTCTCACCAACCCCACGTCCCGGATGAACGGGGCGTTGTCCCCGCAGGGTATAGTACCGCTGCCACTCAGCTTCCTGTTCTCCCTTTTTGTGACCATACTGCCTATTCCTTATAATGAGATTAAGAGTGAATTTGTTAATTGTTTCAATCAAGCTGATAATTCGTTGAATCAAGAAATTGAATTGAATGATGTATAATTTGGGTAATGAGTGGGGTATTAATAGATACTAGTATCACACCCCTGCGATGCATAGGTTCAGATCATTTTTCAATGAAAAAAATGAGATGTAATAGAATATAGAGATTATATTATTTTAAGGTACAAAACATCACTGCTTTATGTTTGAAATTTGGGGAAAGTATTGTACGGAGGAACAACGCTGCGTAGTAGCGTTACTTGGTATAATGTAACGTAAAATGAGTTGATAGACTAAACGAATCGCGTGAAATCACGCTTTTAGATTAAAGTAAAAGGTAACCATGCAAGGATAGGCAGCGAAATATAAAAATTTTAACTTCCTAACATGATTATCTTGCCTAGAATCAACGTACTAAAACTTATAGTAAGTAAGAAATTTATACATTTCTCTGGAAGCGGTAAAAACGAAAAAGTCGTAGGAAGAGCGTTAAAAGTGCAAACGTAATCGTTCAAGCGTCCGGTCTCCAACTTTGACACACGAACAACGCCGGAGTCTACCATAATCTTTATGCTAGTAAATCTTATAGTAGTATAAAATATAAAGATTAAAATTGGAATAATAATAATCTTGTATATTTCTATAGAAAATATTTCTAATAATATTTAGAAAATAGTATAGATATTTTCTATACACAAAATGATATTAATAGAACACAAAATATTATTTTCTCTCACTAGAAAATATTATGGCCAAAAACACACACAATCATCAATTGATAATCCTCGCCCCATTATATTGAAATTGCCATGTAATTATTAAAAACAAAAGATTACAAAGTGATTAATCAAACTTTGTCATTAAGCTAAAGGTTAAACTAATAAAATTTGTCAAAGATTGATTTTTTAATCTTTTGAATCACAATGGCCGAAAATAGAGATTTGAGAAAGTGAGAAGGATTTTCAAAATTTTTCTCCACTAAAATGTTCAAAGTGTATTTTATTTGACACCAAAAATAAATATATAAAATTAATTTTAAATCAAATAAAATACCAATATCAATTTTAAACAAGTATACAAATATACTATAAATAGTTTATGTCAACATAAATATTTTCATAATTAAAATAACAAAGCAAAATAAAATATTCAATACACACACACACAGATATATATATATATATATATATATATATAAATGTATGTATGTATGTATAATATTATATTCCAAAATATTTTATTTTACTATTTTACAAATATACAAATTACTTATTATCTCATTGTTTAATCCTACTTCTTAAATTGTCCAAAGTGTGTATATAGCAACACATTATTGGCTCTGCATCAATACTATAAACAATAAGTGGTATCTAGCAACACATTATTGCCCCAAGATTATAAGTTAATACGTTTGCACCGTCCAAACCTTTTCACGGCTCAGACTCTGTGTAACTGTATCCCTTTGTGTCAATGTCTAGACTTAATGCAAGGGATTAATAAGATCTCGCTTGTATCCATTAAATCATTTACTGATTTATCAAGTCTGACTGATAAGAACAGACGTCATAAAAACATCTCAGCATGGCCATGTAATTTCCTCAGTCATAACTTATCAGTGGTCCCACAAGACATTAATCTCTTAAAAGAGTAGTGAAAAATCTTATGTACGTAATCTACGTTTTTGAATACGCACTACGGCATACCCTTATCAAAGCATGTATACCATTGTTATTTCATATGGCTTAAGACAATGCATGAAAGCATGTGGGTTCACATATGCAGAAAACGTAATACTTCAAGTCAAAGGATAGTTACACTCGTGGTCGCGCTAAAGATTCTTAGAGCATGAACTAAAAGTTCAAGCAACATCTTTAGGATGGATCAGTTCGGCATCCTATTGTCTCCAGATAATACCTGTCCATGTGCGGATGCGAACACACCTTCATTGACTATGAGACTAAGTCGAACATCCAACACACACTAGTCTCACATGTATTAATGATATCCTACTCTCGTTAATACTCAACTATGAACATTCAGATAAATATTTATTTCAAGATGTTAGTCTCATCAACAGAAAAACACTATCTGATAAACATTTTTAAATATAAAGCTAGAAATATAACATTTGTTTACATTAGCATGAGATGTGTAAACATATTATATCTGCATATACATGATAGAATAAAGATAAAACAGTTGACCATCAGGGCACAACTCCAACAATCTCCCACTTGCACTACGACCAATCTCGCATCGGTCGAATGCACATGGACCTAGTGTGACCCGCTTTAGCTTTCCTAAAGGCTTGGTCAAGGGATCAACTATGTTATCATCAGTATCTACTTTGCAAATCATCGCATCTCCTCTGTCTATGATTTCTTGTATAATGTGATAGCATCGTACAATGTGTTTGGTTTTCTGGTGAGATCGTGGTTCCTTTGCCTGTGCAATGGCCCCAGTGTTGTTGCAAAACAATGGGATATGGTCATTAATACTAGGAACCACTTCAAGTTTAGTGATGAACTTCTTGATCCAAACAAGTTCCTTAGCTGCCTCGGCGGCATCTATGTACTCAGCCTCTGTAGTCAAATCGGCAATTGTATCTTCCTTGGAACTCTTCCAACTAAAAGCTCCGCCATTCAGTCAAATCACCTATCCTGCTTGTGATTTTTAGTCGTCTCTGTCGGTTTGGAAGCTAGCATCAGTGTAACCGACCACCCTTAGCTCTTCCTCACCACCGTATACCAGGAATGCATCCTTAGTATTGTGAAGATACTTAAGGATGTTCTTGACCGTTGTCCAGTGTGCTTCTCCTGGACTTCCCTGGTATCTGCTGGACGCTTAAAGTGAATGATACATCAAATCTAGTATATATCATGGTGTACATGATGGATCCAATCGCAGAGGCGTCTTAAACCTTCATCATGAGTTCCTTCTGCTCGGGAGTAGAAGGACTTTGGTTCTTAGAAAGAACGGTGCCAGGTGTCATAGGTAAAAATCCTTTCTTTGAGTTAGACATGCTAAATCGATCAAAGATTTTATCTATATATGTACTTTGATTCAGACCTATTAACTTTCTTGATCTATCTCGGTAGATTCTTATGCCAAGGACATAACTAGCATCCCCTAAGTCTTTCATCGAGAAGTTCTCACTCAACCACGTCTTTATAGAAGTGACAGCGGGAATATCGTTACCCATTAGCAATATGTCATCGACATATAAGACTAGGAATACTATTGCACTCCCACTGACCTTCTTGTATGCACAAGATTTGTCAGAGTTCTTCTCGAAACCAAAACTGGTAATGGTTTCGTCGAAGCGTATGTACCAACTTCGAGATGCTTGTTTCAATCTGTAGATTGAATGATGCAGCTTACAAACTTTGGCAGACTAACCAGCAATTTGAAAACCGTAAGGTTATATCATGAAGACATCCTCTTTGAGGTTCCCGTTAAGGAAAGCCGTCTTGACGTCCATCTGCCAAATCTCGTAATCGTAATAGGCTGCAATCGCAAGCAATATCCAAATGTATTTTAGAATAACAACCGGAGAAAAGGTTTCATCATAGTCAATTCTGTGGATTTGTCTATAACCTTTTGCTATCAATCGAGCTTTGAAGGTGTGAACCTTTCCATCTACGTCGGTCTTCTTTTTGAAGACCCACTTGCATCCAATGGGTTTTACCCATTCGGGCACATCAACCAAGGTCTAGACTTGGTTTGTGTACATAGACTCCATTTCAGATGTCATGGCTTCGAGCCATAGATCAGATTCGGGGCTTGTAACTGCCTCGAGGTAGGAGTTCAACACAGAGGAGGAGTAGCATACCACCCTCAAACGTAGGGACAGGTGGAGAATGCAAACAAGGATTTAAGAGAAAACTGTGGCCCGTACAAGGAAGCTAAGGATTGGAGTGAGAAACTTGACGATGCTTTATGGACATTCCGTACCGCATACAAGGCACCAATATGAACAACCCCGTTTCACGTGGTATACAGGAAGTCCTGTCACCTTCCAGTACAAATTGAGCACAAGGCGTTATGGGCTTTGAGAAATGTTTGCCTAGATTCTTCAGAAGCTGGACTGGAGAGATTTTATCATCTAGATGAGTTAGATGAATGGAGAGCATTGGCGTTCCATAATGCCAAACTGTACAAGGAAAGAATGAAAACCTATCATGATGCTCACATCAAACAAAGTAAGATTTTTCATGAAGGCGACAAGGTGCTGCACTATAATTCCCGTATAAGATTGTTCCCAGGTAAGCTTTTTTCTCGATGGACGGAGCCATACACTATCACTAGAGTTTTTCCTTACGTGACAGTAGAATTGAAGGGTGAATCAGGGACATTCAAGGTTAATGGCCAACAAATAAAAAGATACTTTGGCGAGCAGTTTCATAAGGAAAATGTGGAGATTAAACTCCACAAGTGATGAATGAATTGCGTCAAGCTAGTGACGTTAAAGAAGCGCTGAACCCGGGAGGCAACCCGTTATTTCTCTTCACTGTTTTTAATCTCCTTTTTACTATTATTTTTTCTTTTTTATCTTTTCTTTTCAGAAAAAAATGTAGTCCAAAATACCTTACTTTTTCTTCTAAACAAATAAGGTGCACAAATATATTTTTTTCCTTATTTCTTTTATCACAAAATTAAAATACTTGGTTGTATATGATCTTTTTAAGATAGAAAAAAATAGTGAATGATATTTTGTATAGGGGAGAGTTGAGAGTAGGGATGTAAACAAATCAAATATTTTAAATTTAATTCGTGATTCGTATTTGAATATAATGATTTGAGTTCCCATTATTCAAATACAAATACAAATTCAAATATAACTTCTGATTCGAATATTAGACAAATACAAATACAAATATGGATATATTCGATTCGGATGATATTCAAATATATGTATATACACACAGACCATGTTTTCAACCTCAATAGTCAAGCAATTTAATATAGTATAAAGTGTATTTAAATAACTAAGAATTCAACAAATTAACGTAACACAAAAATCTAAAGCATATGATTTATAATAATTATATTTTATAAAATATAATTTGCGTAAGATGCAAATGTATTTATGTTTTTAGATACGGAGTACAGTATAGTATAAGGAGGATCAAAAGTTAAATTATTCAAAATCAATGTTAGTTGGTCCATCATATAAATTACAAAGTATGATTATTCAAATATTCGTTTAGGATTCGTTAACTATTTGGATATTAATCAAATACAAATACAAATTTTATTTTTAATTCATCTCATATTTGGATTTGGATTCACATTCAAAAAAATTAAACAAATAGAAATTCAAATATCTCGGTATTTGCTTTGATTCGGTTCGTTTACACCCTTAGTTGAGAGTGTGTGGAGCCTATAGGAAGGAGAGAAGGCAAGTGCACTAAAGCCAACTCATTATTGTACAAGATTTATTAAGACTAACTACCGTAATTGTACACCACTGCCATGTCACCATACGATAATAAGTGTAAATAAAAGAATTAGAGAGTGGATAAATATTGAATGACCAAGATAAATGAAGTATTTTATCATGCTGAAAAACACGAAGAATTAATACACAATTTATTGTTACTTCATCTGACCAGATTTTTTACAGTTACTTCATCTAATGGGATCTTGGATGAAAATACTCGGTCACATGAAGTAACAAAAACTTTCATACTACGGAGTAATAATTAAAACACACTAACAAAAAATTGTTCTTATCAAACTTTCCTTACTACAGACTAAATCATAAATCGAGTTGAAAAACACGAGGAATTAATTTTGTTCATAACAAAAAAAACAGCATGAAAGAGAAGCAATTCAAGACATGAAAATCCATTTCTTATAACATTACAACCGTTCGAGTTTCACGTAAAAAAGAAACAATGCCCTCTTTACGACACTAGAGAACTCATGAGAAATATGGCAATATTATACTATACAGTGGCCTTTGTGTGAATATATTTTATTTATTTTTATCTATGCCTGATTTCTAATATGATGATTGATAACACAACAAAGGCAACCCTTATTTAACTTCCAATGGGTTATATTATGCAACCCAAAAAACTCAGCTAATAAAGCCACACTATATATAAGTGGAAAATTAATTGTTTGAAAAGAGGATCAAATCCACCCGGCCCGAGGTGAGGGATATGTTAGGAATGGTCTCGAGCATAAAAAATTATGCGTCCAAAAGATATAGGCCTGTTGGTTACGTACGTGTGTATATTTCAAATAGCGTTGGACCAATGGAATTGGAATATGTGGAATTGGAATATGTACCCAAAAAAAGTTGAGGACTGTGGCTAATGTCTAGGCGGGCTTAGGCATTGTGGATGCCAATGCCCAAAATAGAGCCCAAACAAAGTTGGAGGGGGATTTTAAAAAAAAAACCGGTGGAAAGGGGTGTTATTGGATCCAAACCGAACGAGTGAATGGACCGGTCCTGCTAGAGGCAACTTCATTGCTACTCAGGGAGAGGTTGGCAAATTGGGCTTCAAGAAGATCCCGACTTCTGCTACGCCGGTGGTTTGAGTGGTGGTGGTGGTGCTGGTGTGGTGGTGGTCGTGATTGGTGGTGGTGGTGCCATTGTAGCTGATAAAGAGTTTGTAGCCTTCCAAGTTCGCGCTCTAGCATTTCTTGTTCCATGTGTTTAATGACAAACTCTTGTGATAAGCTGTCCAGCCTATGCATGAGAGCTCTATTTTCCATGCTCAATATGAGGTTTTGTTTATCAATAAACCCAAGCTCAGCTGAAACCACAGATTCTTCTACCTGTGAACACCCCAAGATTATGGGAAGGAAAAAAAAAGAGTTTGGGTTAAATCTATCATGGTTGAACAATCTCAGGAGTAAACAACTAGAAAATTTTCCAGTTTCAGAATAATGATTACTTTCCAATTCTCATTTTTGGTTCCCAACATTCAAATTTCCCGATTCAGGTACATTGATAATGATTCCTTACCACTTTTGATGCTTCTCCCACATTGATGAAGAGAAACTGATTGATAAAACTTAGAATTGAGTAGGGGTTACTCAACTGAGCCATAAGATGCTTGGGTCAAACCATCTAGTTCAACTCAAGGTCTTATTAACTCATGATTTTCTCTTCAAAGTTCCAATAGGGAGTGTAACACCGATTATTGATCTGGTTGAGAGGGGACCAAAAGTGGCAAGAGACCCATCATTATACCCCACAAGTACGTGGAAATCCGTAGTAGGGAACCAAAACTAAGAATAACCTATGGCCGAGGGATCAAAACTAAAAGTGGCCAATTTTCAAATATCTAGCATTGGTGTGGTGTTTACCTGCAATGCTTGGACTGTCCTTTCAAGTTCAGAAATGTGCTGTAATTTTCGGATCCTAGACCGATGTGCAGATTGCCTGGATTGAAAATATTTAAATGATATTAGATATGCCTAAGAAGTTACCAATACTTTAGTACAGATATGATGTGCTGAAATTGTATCACTGGTCTAGAATTTCCTGACTAATTTTCAAAACCCATTGGCTTCTATGTTTGAATACATTCAGGGAATAGACAAAATGGTAAGCGTGTAGAACAAGAAAATAAAGAGAACCATGTGTAGGGCCCCCACATGAAAACAAAATCTATCCCCATGTGGAAAGAAAACTTGAGAAGAAAGAAGGCTGTGACTTGAATTTTACAAATTTAACATAGTTCTTTAGTTTGAGGCTTCCCGCTTCTTTCAATAAAAAATTCAAACAAAGTGTAAGTGTGTTGGTGCTGCCAATGCAACATTTAATAAGGGCAGAAATTGGGCAAAGAGTTTAAAGGTTGACAAGAAGTTGTAACCACCCTAATTAACAAAATCATCTATACAAAATGAAATGATGTAGAGAAAACAGGTTTACTAATCCAAAGTAGGTTTGCAAAATACTACTAGATTATGTTTATTAAGACTTGAGGTTTCATCCTAAAACTACAACCTATTATGTATAAGTTGCTTTGTATTTTTGTATTCATTTGATGTGCGAGGAATCCCTTCATAATGTTCATTAGATTTAGTATGCACCAAAACATAATATTTCCTGTGATGAGCAGAATCGATGCTTTGAGTAAGTTAACTAGAGAGGGCAATACTGGAAGTAAAAGAGCACATCATACAAAGAAAGATAAAAATAAAACTAAAAGAAAATGCATACTGTTTAGCACGTTTTGCCTCCCCTTTTGACATATAAGGCTTCGGTTGCTGGCTGTTTGTTTTTTCGGGTGACCTCTCAGTGTTCTGTGAAGTGCATTCCTCATTTTTATGCTTCCCGCTTGATATTGATGCCCTCTCAGAAGTAGGTTCATCTGAAGCCTGAAATGATGATGATGATAACTGTTTAATGTTTTGAAGTATTTGTTACCTTGGGGACCATCTAAAGCTCCATCTCCAGGCCCATGTGTTGTTTTAAAGTTCAAAGTATACCAAAAATATCTTGCAGTTATTTGATATGCCCCCTCCATTCTCAAATAAGGGCCATTTAAGGGTTTTTTATAGCACATAAATTTAGGAAGGAATCCCCACTCCCCCCCCCCTCCCCCCAAATCTAAATAATACTCCGTACATAATACACCGTGTTTCTATTTAAACGGTTAATTATTTGGTAGTCCTTTTTATATGTCCATTTATAAAATGGAGGAGCATTAGTAACAATTTTCTGGTTTAGCCTATAAAGTTAAATATGGACGCAAATACATGAAAACTGAAGACATGTTGTATTAAATTATAAAAAATTAGTGAGTTCATAAATGAAGGTAAAATTGTATAAAGAGATAAGTTATGATAAATTTACAAACTCTGCATAATTTTCTTATGCATGTTTGGGACAGATAAATATAATCACATGGCGTATTATGGAGCATTTAGAGAGAGTGACAATTGTGGAAAATTAGCAACAAAAGTTTATTTCTGAAATTACAAGTGCACTTGGGGACTGTTTGGTCAGGGTTATCAAGACGAAATGGAAAAATTCTATGAAGAAAGAAGTGTTTTGTAACATTCATTTTAAAAGACAAGGCAAAACTACTGGCAAACGAAGCCTTGTTTGAGAACAAATTTCGTTGGGTTTGTTGTTGTAAAGCGACAGTAATTAGGAATGGATACGAAATGTATGTTGGCAAGACAAACCTTGTGAATCATTTCGCCTGAAGTTACCAGAGATGTATCACTTGAAAATCGGGTTGACCCCTTTACATTGGGTCCCACATTCACATTCAATTCCTCTGCAACCGCCCCTAAGTATGCAAAGGTGTCACTTGCGGAACGCCGGTGACCTTTATGCACTGCTGTCACTGGTTCACTAAGAAGATCCTCGAGCCAGAAAGGCTCTTCTAAATCAATTAGAATGCTTTCAGACAAACAGCACTGATGGTGGCTTACTCCTTCGTCCATCTTCAGCTTCCCTTTCGAAGCAATGGGAAGAGAGTGGGGGTATGATGATGATGAATCAGAAAGGAATGGGGAAGGAGATGATACGTTTCCATTCGCGTAAGCTGAATTACCAAAGCTTGAAGCTCTGTTAGAACTCTCCATTTAACCCTACAAATAGGATACATTTGAATTTATTAACAAGAACATTCAAATTTAACCGCATCAAATCTTGCAACAAATTTCGCATTAATGCATTGTGCTTACTTATTTTAGACAATTAATTCACACTAAAAGTTTTACGCCACCGACTCCAACATAGTTGGGATTAAGGTGTCAATGATAATGAGCATATATGTATATTGCATATAGCTTAGCAATTTTTGGGTTTTTCTTTTATAGCCGAAAAAACACACATGAGCACATATTATAAAAGGAAAAAAGCATTAATATTAGCATAGTGATCATACATATAAACACCATACACATTACAATGCGTGGATATGTTGAAATGCAGTTAACGTACACAACTGCTAAAACTTCTACGAGTACATATCAGTTATCAATGCTACATGCAACGGTCATTGTGAATACAAGAACAATTACAAGTCATGTGAACATGAATATGAACATGACCATTACCTCCCTCCAAAAAAAAGCGTTGTTTTTATTACAAAAAAAGAGTAAATTCTATCATTAGTCCTTTATAACAGGGGGTTTTCTCTATTTAGTCCTCTATTGTCAAATATTACTCATGCGGTCCTTCTTTTAAGGGTACTTTTCCCAAAAGAGTCCTTCTTTGACCTTCATGTTTGTGTTTCTTTGAGGGCTAAAATTGTAATTTGACATCAATGTTATGTCTAGTGACATATTTTGATGTCATTCAAATCGACAACTCAAAAATAATAACTATGACTGTGGATTAGAATTCTAACAAAAGACCATATATGTAGACTATGAGTGTAGTAGAAAGCGAGTACAATTCACAAATAATGCATCAGCAGTGGCATCTGGATTTGTATATGAAAAGAAAGATATACAATCATTATAAAACTACACTTTTAGCCTAGAAATTAACATCAACATGATAGAAGATAAGAAAAGGAATATTTATGGAAAGATAACCATGAAAGAAGGACAAATATTTTGTAATATATTTTAGTGTAATTGGAAAAACTATAACCAATGATATCCTAATAATCATCAAAGAAGTTTGGTGGTGCGTAGTGCACGCTTCGTTGAGTTTGTAAGGATAAAAATTTCGTTTTAACGGGGTCCCAAGGGGGCAGCATCCCCTTGGCGGGGGTTCAAGGCAGCGCCCCCGAGCAAGGTTCAAGGGGCGGCAGCCCCTGCGGGGTCCAAGGGGCAGAGCCCTGGCTGGGGTCGAGATTATGGGCAAAGTTCTATGTTACAAATTCATTTGAATTTTTATTTTTCGAATTTTCTTTAAAAGGAAAATTCGTTAAAAGATAGCACCGATTTGTTCAAAATTGTGCGTGAAAGATCGCGCGTCTTAGATAAAAGACGCGATTGCATCTTTTCTTCTCCTTCGCAGCTCTATAAATTCTTGAAAACTTTTGGTCGAAATACAATTCGAAAAATTCACAACAATCTCATACTCGTTCTTGTTACTTTCGAATTTTATCCGATTGAATTTTGGATTGAACAACCAAAATATGCAATCTGAAAGTGCTATACACGACTCTCAATTGATCCGCACTTCTTCCGATGGATGGATCATATACAAAACATGTAATCATCACTATCACATGCCAATATTGACGAGTAGAACCCAAGATCTGTTGACAATCTAATAAGAACACTATAAACACCACATTCTAATATTATTAAACAGATGGGTTGATTTTCACATGCCCATGTACCTCTTGGGGAATCGCAATGGCAATTTGGAAAAGTAAAAGAGGAGAAAAAAATGCTTCTAAATTAAAATGAAAATCCAACGATGTCTTCATCAATTAAAGTCTATGTTGGATTTAGAAAATGAAGAACACTGCGAAGCAGTGTTAAACGAAGAACTCGATAGAATAACGAATCGCGTACGAAACACTTTCAGATCAAAGTTATTTCGGGGTATACGAAATACTTCAATCGGATAAGACTTTAATTCAGAACAAGCACTCGAGAATATATACCTCAACCCATACCACGAGACTCTATTTTATAGAGTCGAAAATCCTTGTGATCGAACATGAACGTTCGCGTAGAAGTACGCGTACGTTCGCGCAAGAAGAAAAAGGTGCGAGTTTGAACGAAAGGTCTCCTGCGGTTGAAGGCTTAATTTCGACGTTTATCCATTATGTACGAGTCCTTTACCGTTTTGGACTCCGGTCACAAAAAAGGTGCGAGTTTGAACGAAAGGCTCTGCCCCTTGGACCCTGCCAGGGGCTGCCGCCCCTTGGACCCCGCTACCCGGGGGCTGCCGCCCCCAGACCCCCGCTATCCCGGGGGCTGCCGCCCCCAGACCCCCGCTATCCCGGGGGCTGCCGCCCCCAGACCCCCGCTATCCCGAGGGCTGCCGCCCCGGACCCCTGCAGTAAATTTATAATATCGTTGAACAAGCGCGCACTCCGCGCCTCCTAACTCGTTTGACAACGTCTATTTAAATTCTTGTCCGATCAAAGTAAATCCAATTACACAAAATAAATTGATGACACTAAAATCACCAACAGTCTACGTCTTCGCGTTATTGTTCTCATTCAGCATTTATTGTCAATGGTAATTGGATGAAGAATCAACAAGGATGGGTGTAAATCCATGAATCTTAAAAAGAATAGCAATATGGATATGCCTTCACTGTAATATTGATGATAATTGAAGAAATTCAAGCTGTATAAATAACTTCGGCAAATTATCTGGGATGGATGGAGTAATACCCAAGCAAAAGATGCAAACAGCAATTAGCAAGGGGGATTTACCGGAGAGGAATGCGGGCGGCGGCGAAGCGGGGCGGGGCTTCCAGTGGAGGAGGTGAAAGCCCCGCAATTGTTGTTACCTTCAGCAATTCTGCATCTGCTGGAGAAATCTGAATCTCCATTTCAAAGGAAGGGAGAGGAGGAGAGAGAGGGAAATAGCGCCGAAGTTTGCGCGGTTAAATAGAGAAGGTTCTAACACGTTTCCTTCTTTCCTTCCAATGTGGCTTTTTTTTACATGAGAAAGGTATCTCATTTTCAACTCACATCTTTAAAAAAGATAAAAAAAGGTACATTTTTATAGAATTTCAAACGCCCCAAAATATAGTCTAAAATTATTCTTAGGCTTTGAACCGGAATGAAATGTGTTTTGATATCCAATATCATAATCTGGATAAATCTCATAGAGATAAATCCAATATGTTGACTAATTGTGTAATCTTAATTGGGAACCAGAGTACAGACCCAAAATAATAAATAAATAATGAAATTATTTATGATGTGAACTTCAAAATGAATTATTCAAATAAATCATGAGAATAAATAGTATGAATTATATATGAGAACCTTTTTTAATAAAGGTCAATTAAATAAATTTTGACTCTGTCAAAGTCAAACACCCAAAAATATGATGATGGAAAAAGTATTATAAATAAATATAAAAATTATATCGTTGAATAGAGTTTAAATGTACGATCGCAACGGTTCAAACAGATTTCAATTCGAAGAAAGATGAACAAAAAATGTACCCCGACTAGAATCAAATTAGTCCCAATCAGGGAAACTGTTCAGACGGCGCTTCCCAGCGCACTAACCGATCATTAAAATCATAGAGGAGTCAGCATCCTGCATCTTCTTCTTCGTCACCTCTCTATATATAAGAAGACTACTTCCTCTCATTTCTCCATCATTCTTCCTCTTTTTTCTTGCTGTGAGTTCCTTAGAGTGTGGAGAGTGTAGAGGTACTGCCTAGAGAGCTTAAAGTGGCCGGAGTTGTGAGTCATCGTCACCAGAAGTTTTGCTGGAAAATTTCCAAAACCTTCGTTTAAGCTCGAGGGAAGCCCTTAGATATATCTGGTGACTAGATGTTCTTATACATACGTTTCTACGTTCATAAACGGTCGTTTGGTTGAGTTTTGTGTTTGACATATTTGAAGAACCAAGAATCGTAAACCTTGAAATTGTTGTTAAGACTACGAATTAATGATACCAAAATGATTTATGAACCTTGGAAAATATTTCTATATAATTTAATTAAAGTTTGGTGACCAAAAATGAAGTTGGAGAAAAGTGGCTGAAAGTAGAAGATGATGGACAGTAACAAGCACCATCAGTGGATCGATCCTGGGCAGTGGATCGATCACCAGGGGATCGATCCTAAGGGCTTGATCGATCACTCGAACTAGTTGATTAAAGCATTTTCCGAAAATTCTTTTTTTAGAGTTCTAAAATCCTATTTTTGATACCAATCAATTATGATCAATATAAAGATGATATCTCAAAATAAAAATGATGTTTTAGATGAATAAAATCTTATGTGATGCATGAAGGGAAGCTAGGGTGTTAACATTCGACGCTAGGCTGCTATTTGTTATTAAATATTGTTATTGTTGATTGATGATTATGATGATCATTATTTGGTGATTATAATGATTATTATTTGTTGAAGATTATAATCAATATTATTGACTCATGATTATAATAAGAAACATTTGCACTGAATAGCACTAAAATTTAAGTCATTTTCCTAAATAGCACTTAAACTGTTTTATTCCCTAAATAGCACTTAATAATGTCCATAATGTCCAGTGATGGCGAATATTTACTTGAATAATGACTAATGCATAATGACTAAAAGTGCTACATTGAGAAGAAAAACACATGTGATGCCATTTAGGGAAAGTCATTATGTTTTAGTGCCATTTAAGTAAATTCCTCTTATAATAATTGATAAATCTGTTTCGTACTTATCTTTTTACTCATATTTAATACGTTCTTGTACCATTTGTAATTATCAAATCAATCAATTCTTTATCATTTTGGATAAAAATATTATGTTTTGATAACTTCATCATAAAAAGAATATTTTTGAATTAATATGCAAAATTGGGCCAAGAATGGAATAAAAAGAGTTAATTTTTAATAAAAAAATAATTCTCTATCACAAACGGTGCGGAATTGGAAGTCGGTGCAGAAGGAAAAAGTGTTCAGAATGAGATTTTAAGCAAGATAGCATTGACGGACCAGAGCGGCAAAGCAGGTGGCCGCCTACCTGGCCACCGGTCAGATGGCGGCGATGGGCAACCAAACGAGCAGCAGCAATGTTTTTCGCAGAGGGAGCGTTGGCGGGCTGGCTGGCAGGCGCCTGCCTGCCTGTTGACGAAGGCTGGGTGCAACGCGATTTCTATGGAATTTTGTTAGTTAACTTTTATCATCCAACATCAATTCTCAAGGTCTTGGAGCACTGTAAGTTTGCATTTTACTTCTTGAATTGTTGTTGAACTTTTTATTAATAAAATATAATTTTGTTTAGATTAAAGTATATTGATGATTGATTTGTCTTTGAGAATGTCATATATGATGTCATTGATGGTTTTATTTAAGATTATGAATTGGTGATTTTGAATGGTTTAGGATTCGGAATAAAGATTTAACTAATTTAATTTTCTCTATTAATTAGTAATTGGATTAATTGTTAGAAAATGATTTAAAATTTGTTAATTAATAAAACTGTTTTTATTATTAATTAATCCTTGGAAATTAATCTTTTATCTTGTTTATGAGGTAATAAGACTAATTAAGCCACACGCTCCAAATACTTAGAAATAGGCAGGGTTAGAAATAAAAATTTGGAATGGTTTCAACTAAATAATAATAGTAAATATTTTATTAATTAAATAATTGGAAAATAGTTCTTGCCTTGTCTATAAGGATTTAGAATTATTTAAGCTGAGCATTTTTTAGCATAGTACTGAGACCTAGAAATAGGAGATTTATTGGAAATAACATAATCTTATAACTAATACTGAGACCTATAAATAGGAGATGTATTAAATATAAGATCGGCCCGGTTCCATGGCCACTGGATTCCAGTGACCACGAAAGCCACTGCCCTCCTACGGAGCTATGTTCATAAAATTTGATGATTCCCACCCCCACTAACCCCCCCGGTAACTCCGCCAAGTCCCGACCCAAACTCATCCCCCCACCTACGTCAATTACACCTCGTAAGTATAATTGACTTTAAAATCAAAAGTTTTGACTTTATGCTTACGAGGTGCAATTGACGTAGGTGGGGGGATGAGTTTGGGTCAAGACTTGGCGGGGGGCGGTATACTGGGGGGTAGGAATCATCAATTTTATGAACGGAGCTCCGTAGGGGGGCAATGGCTTCCGTGGCTACTAGAATCCAGTGGCCATGGAATCGGGCCGATAAAAGATTAGCATTTATGTTTTATATTGGGACCTAGAAATAAGAGATTTATTAAACATAAGTGCTACACATTTCATCAATCCAATTGTTAATTAAAGATGAGTTAATTGTGTCAAGACCACATTCCGATCTTAACTTCTGAAGTTATTTTATCATTTATTTTAATCACCTTATTTCTTATTTATTCGCATATATAAGACTATAAATTTACCTGTGATAAATAATAAAACTAACTATTTCCTTCATCAATCCTTGAGAGAACGACCCGAGTCTAACTCAGTTATTTGTTGACTTACCGCTATACGTAGTTTGTCAATAATTAAACCTTGATGAATATTCTGGTTGAATGATAATGGATAAAGTATAATGAAACATCGTTGATAGTAATTTCTATTAAATGTTGATTATAACGATTAAATGGATGACCCATGTGATTATGATCGTATAATGACAATAATCTTATTCTAACGAAATACTAAAATATGGTATTGAGTAAATAAACCGTGATTAAATATGTTCATTTGCTTATCTTGAGTAAATGATGATTGTGAATTGACAAACCATGATTCAAAATGAATAGATTGACGAATAAGAAAAATAATGTGTTATTTTAAGGCTATCTAGAAAACTTCTAAGATAGACCTTAGATTAGAACGGACTTGTGACAATATGTTTATTCGATGATTTGAATAAAAATATATAAAAGGGATTCATAGACCAAACTAGAGGATCACTCGTTTGGGAATAACCAATATGACGATGATTAGTCGCTATTCTGTTATTGCCTTAACCTACTACAATTAAGCGTCTGATTATAAATTGCATTAAACTAATTATAGTTTAAGCGTCTTGTTTATAATTGCCTTAAACTAATTATAATTTTAAGCATCTGGTTATTAATTGCCTTTTTAAGAGTCTGGTTATGAAACTATAATTTGGCCTTAGAGTAAGAATAAGTTTAAGAGTCGGGTTATGAAAGTATGGATTTGGCCTTGGACTAAGAATAGCTAAGAGCGTTGTTGTGATCTGGCCTAAGACTAAGAATTAGCTAAGACCGTTGTTATGATATGGCCTTAAACTAAGAATAGTTACGAGTGTTATTATTATTGGCCTTAGATTATTAAAAATAATTTAAGAGCACTGACGGAATAATGAATATTGAATATCTGAATTCAATAACATGTGTTGATATGAACTAAACAATATCAAAATCATGAATCGTGAATATTTGAATATAACATTATGTGCATGATATCAAATGATTTGATTATGAATTGAGATTTAATTTATATGGATGTTCGACGCATTAGATGTCTTTACTTAGCTTCAACGCTGAGTGTGTAGTATGTTTTATTTGCTACACACAGGTAAATAGAAAGAATGATGTGACGTGATCCTGGAGGCAGACGGAGGCGAGATGGTCGGGATGGATGTGATGATTTTGAATTGAAGGGCATAAATAAATTATGTCTTGTGATTGTGTTTTGTTAAGCTTCCGTAACATTGAAAACTCCGTATTGTTTATGTTATGAAAAATATTATTGTGTTAAATGAAAGTGTTTGAAATGTTTTAAATTTTTACGATTACCAAGTTAATACTTTAGTCCAAAAGGGGCTGCAGACCTTGACGTATTAGGGTGTTACAATCCGGCCGGCGAGTGTACATGTGACGTTCTACTTAGCGTTCTGGTGTGCATGTTACATTCCTAATGACTTCCAAATTAATTTATAACTTCTCATATACATTATTAACTTTGTACGTGATGTTCTAATTTTTTAAATTATATTTTCTTTATACAACAATATCATATTTTAATATTTACAAAATATATTAAACCAAACTATCAATTGCTTTTTGAATATTTCTCTCTATTGTATTTTAAAAGGCAACGTTTCTTATTTATTTAAATGTTAGAATATCTACAATCTTTTGTAGTTAGAATTTTAATGGATAAATAAACACGATGTTGAATAAATGTCTCTTCTAAAATATACTTAGATAACTTATAAAAACCCATTACACGTATCAATAATACATGATAATGATGATGATCGTAGTAGTAGTAGTTATAATAATAATACATAGTTTTTAGAATTTAAATTTTAGAAAATTTTTAAATAATACATAGTTTTTAGAATTTAAATTATAATTTTTTTCAAAATGCTAAAAGTAAAAGTAAAATCTTATTGAAAGCATGATTTAAAAATAGAATTAAAATATTCTCCATAAAATATCCTCTGTATTTTCATTACAAGAAAAAAATTTGACTTATGTGTTAAATACAAAGTAAATCAAGTACTCCCTCTGTCCTAAATTAATCTTCCCAGTTACTATTCATACGGTCAAACTTAAATCACTTTTTTTTAAACTATTTTTGGTAGTTATTTGATAAAATAATATAGTCTTGTCACCTCTTGTTGTGTAGAACTTTTTATGTGGGTTTTAAATATATAAGTTTTATTTTTAAATTTTACACCTACAATCAAATAAATTGAAAATAAAGTCGGCCAAATCTCGTAAACACAAACGAGAAGATAGTTTTATGACGGATGGAGTATTAGATAAATTACGAGTCAATTTGTAAGCCATGTACACCAGAAAGCTAAGTAGAATGCCACATGTACGTTCGCCGGCCGGGTTTTGAAATTCTGGCAAGGGGTACCTTTTTGTTACATTTTTTAAAGATGGGGTACCTCCTAAAAAAGCCCCAATTCTCTATGCTTTGTTAAATTGAGTATTTTGAAAAAAAGATATTTAATTACGCAGTATAATACAGAGTATTTTGTTTTAGTTTTTTTTAACATTTTAAAAAATAATATACATCAATAAAATATAATCTAAAATGTTAGCTCTAATTATAAATGTTATTTTCAAACAAGACCTATTTTTCGAAATAAGGAGGAAAAAATAGTTACGGAGTACATTATAAATCAATCCTTCATGTTGACATTATTCACTCAAACTGTATGCACTTTTATTGTAATAATTAAATAAAAATTACATTACATTTTATTACAATGACATGAGTTTTTGAAAATAATTTGTGAGTTAAATATTATAAAATCGTTTTGGCACTAATAAGCATTCTCATTTTTATTTAATTGGCTATCAAAATTCTTTCTTTTTTTTTTGCAATGCAAAAACTCAAACTGGAGGAATATAATGTGACTAGAGTAGTTTTTTTTCTAAATGACTTTTCTCGACTCTCAAAAACATTTTCTAAGTAAGAAAACATAATTATTTTGGCATTTTAATTTTTTTAATGCAAAGTTAGTGTTTTTGGGGGTTCTTCAATTTTTGAGATATAAATTAGATGTTTTTCGTTATAATTACTTGAATAGTTCTTTCGATAGCATTTCTTTAAAAAAAAAACACTGCCCCCGAACCCCTGTCCAGTTTCCATCCCTGAGAGGAATTCATGGACACAATCCCAATCACATTCCACTATGGAAGAAATATATTTTCCAATTTGTATTTTAAAACTAAATATTTTATTGGATGGCTTTTCAAAAAAGCTAAAGTTATTAATGCAAAACAAACTCCAAGTACTCGAAGGGCGTTTGGTTTTCAGTTAATATGAGATTGTCTTGGCAATGTTAAGAAGATTATGTTAATACTTGCAAGTCAAAAAAAAACACGTGTGCAAACTAAAACCCAAAATCTGAATGTCATCTATACCATATATCCACGTAGAGTAAAAAAAAACACAGAGCAAGGCACGAAATGAGCTAAAATCAATTCAAAAGTTGGAGTGCATTCTTATAATGTCACACACAATATAATCCCCCACCAAAAAAACGAAAAGAAAAAGAAACTGTACACCTGTAGTTCTGATCAAGAAAACCTGAAACTAAACTGGTTTAAACAATCTAATATTTGACCCTGCATAGAAGCTTTTAAACATCCTTCTTACCATTGTTGTAAAGAATGCGGCGTAAATGGAAGCCTTCACCTTGATCCCCATTCATGGCACGTCTCTCGAGGAAGCAAGCCGTTAATTGCCTGAGAAGCCTTTCTAGACATGAGTGCAAGCAAGCTCTTTGGTCAGTAGTAGCCTTAGGGTTTTGAGATAAGATCACAGCGTTTACTGCATCTGCCACAATCTCTCTCTGCGTGTCTCCTAGTAGGTATCCGGCCGGGCACTTCAATGGTTGCTCAAATGCCAGCAAAGTAGCACAATCCTACAGGTGTATGTGTGTTTGTGTGTAGAGACAAAATGATAAATACCACCTAGATACAACCGTAGATACAAAAATTTTGTATATTCACGTGAGTTAATGAATGAAACCTTTTTGTTTAGTGAGAATTTCAGTTCTTTGGAGTGTAATGGCAGTGCACGTAATGGTCAACTCATTTGTGATTATTGAACATGTAACTTTCATTTAGTGAGCAAATAGTTTATGATTAGTGAGCATATAAGTCTCTATTGAGAAATGGTTGCATGGTATTCCTGTGGGCTGTAGCTACGATTGTACGATAGAATTACTCACCTTAACTAAGTCCTCAAATTCTGTAAATCTAGTAAATTTGTGAAATTTACTTCTGCCATGATTTACAGCTTCTTCCAGCTTCCCAGCCTGTTAATGGAAATTCCAAACTTCAGATTGCTCAGGCTTATAGCAGCTCAAATGCAAAAGAACTAATATACGACTATACGAAACATGAATAAATCCAATTGTTCAGTCTGATAGCAATTAGCATCAAAGTGGTGAAATAAGCAGTCCAGAATAAAAAGCAAATTGAAACATTATGAAATTTTATTTACCCGTGCTAACTCAATAAACTTTTGACAGTGAAGCAGAAAGCAAATAGCTGATGAACCATCCTGCAGATGCAAAACATATCCTGTTAGAGTTTTACACAGATATGCATCCAAAGTGTAGAATCTTAAATACTCTGATGAAAATGTTGGAACTTGGAATGTTAACCTTTTTAAAGAAAATAATTAAGGAGATGTTTTTGGTAAGATGAGGTTAAGCAATGAAATGTAGAGGTAAACCAATCACCTGAACAAGACTAGGGTACCAATCTTGAAGTTTACGNCCCCCCCCCCCCCCCGCGCGGAAATAAATGAAAGAGTCAAATAGAAAGTTTTCACGTTTGTAACATTGTCATTCACATACATTTAATATTTAAAAAATAAAACCATACTCATCTTGTACCTGGCGAAGAATCTTCCTATGGTTTAATGCATACATGCTATCCTCCTCAGGACCATTTTCTTGTACAAATGAGATAGGTGGAATAGTGCTTTTACTCGCAATATCAAACATTTGAAGGGTGTCTTCGTAGCCATAATGTTGCAAGTAGGAGCGAACAATTCTGACAAATGTAATAAACCTGCTGGTGAAACATAATTTCTTCGACAAATAGCAATTTTGTACGAATTGGATTATGGTCATGCTACTTAAGAGTTAAGACTAATAACCTATTATAAGTTTCAACCTATGAACAAAGAATCTGATGATATATTAAAATTGTACAAGAAACTGATATGATTAAAGTATTTTCGTAACTATTCGTACTTCTTATTCATTCCAAACATGGTTTAAAGGAAGACAATAACAAATCACATTTCACTTGTTCCAGGCACTGTGCAAGCAGATTATTATACTTACTATGAGCATCTCTAGTCCTAATGGAAAGGGGTAGACGTAAGGTCACTCTGACAGCATACATCTCACCCTCCAAAAACCATACTTCCGAATGAGACATATTGCGTATGTTTGATTTGGTTTGGTTAATTGGATACGCATTTCATCTCGTGCCTAATAGTTGTTCCTTAGCAGCATGGAAAAACTTTAAGTTGACCCTTTGAATATTCATGAGTCATGACATGAGTTCACATAACTTCAAATTTCCAAACCCCAAGTGGATGATCAGTTCAAAAATTATGGACAGATAGCTTTAGTGAAGATCAGATTTCAAGAATTGTGAACAAATAGCTCGCACTTACCCGTGACTGGCATTCTGGGGTAAAGTTATTTTTTCGAGTGTTGCTTGTTGTTTGGCTCTCTCCTGAGCTTCATATGCCTGGGCAAAATATACTAAAAGTGTAAAACTAAATACTGTATCTTTTGTACTCTTGTAGAACTAGATATTATACGGAGTATTTCATAATGGGCCTTTTTCATTCCCCCACTTAGCACCACCACCAGATTGATAGTGCTCCATCTGCTTCCTACTTGTCTGTGCTTCTATTTACCTATCTAGGTTGACCTAGTTCCATTGTTCTGTTTTATAATATTTCCAACTTTGAAATATATTCACATTTAATAGTCTTTTCCAATTTAACCTTCTTATACTATTCAGTTAACCATTTTTTCAAAAATAAACATAAATAGGAGAGTAGCTTATGATGAAGGAACTTTAGATTAATCAGTACTCCGTAATATTTTTGATTAACTTAATTATTCAATTACATTTTCTTAAACTGTGTGTTTTGTAGTAGTAGGAACATGGGTAGTATACTCTTAGTTTTTGTTATTAAAAACATGATTTATAGGAAACCTGAATGAATGGTTGGTCATCAGAATATCAACAAATTGATAAGGAAATGCATGAAAATAAGGTTATTAGATGCGTGTGTCTAATGTATGTGCAGGTAGCTTCTTAGCATATACAAAAGAATATGTGCGCAAAAAATTAGTAATTTCACCTAGTATTATGAGAGATGAAATATTTACCTTTAGATCGAATACAAATGGATCCTTTCCGAAGTTCACCGTAACCCTGAAAAGGTAGCATCAACATGGGAGTAGAAGATCAAATATATACACTGATGAGCTAGTTTTAGCCTAAGTTTCTCAACCCATTAAACTATGCTGTGAGAGCTTAGAGTTCTACCATTAAGTAGACAATGAGTCATGTTAACTACGCAGTATGTAGAATGAAATAGCAGAGCAATGGTACATGTGAGAAACACATTGTATAGTGTACTCCGTATTATTAGATGCATATTGTCAACGTGATAGGGAAATAAACTGCATCCAAGCAAGTTCCATATAAAAAATAGTATTTGAGTATATGACTATTAACCAATGGGATCAAATGAACAGAGTCCACTAGAGTTTCCATGAACTCCAAAACTATGCCATGTTCACAAAACCCAATTACCCCTTAAAAGTCATTCAAAATGGATACCTCCATAAAATCAATCAGAGAATATGTATGAGAGAGCAATGCAGAGTTTAGAATCCAGAGGGAGAACATTGAAAATGATGTAATTGTATAATACATACAAAGTATTCAAAAGATAAGTGAGCCAATTAGGATTTGGGGCTAACAAGTAAGAAACCATTCACATGAATGTTCTACATACTCTTCATTTTGACTGTGAACAGCTACGGTTGGAAATAATGGTGCTTTTACATCCTTCAAAACTGTTCCTACTATTGTCCCGTTTTTCCTGCCACCAGAAATAAACAAAATACATATATGTGAGAGGCTGAGAAATTACATACGAAGTATAAAGGAAGCATTACAAAATAGCTAGTTAATATATTCAGAAAATATCATTGAAGCATTGAAACAATCATCTCATTAAGCTATAGCCATTGTGAATCAATTGTCCCAAAAAATTTAAAGGTCAAACATTAGTCATATTCAAATTGGCTTCTACCCATGAAAAGAGTAAGACATGGTCTTACGTGAAAAAGAGTTCCTGTGATGCATAATTAATGCCCCCACCAACAGTATCACCGGCTGTATAAGTTGGGCCAAACGCCTCCCCCTTCCCGTGCCCACGATAAAGCAACCCATCATCACCATGATACCCATAACTGTTTGCTTCCCAACTGCAAATGAAGGCCTATTGTAATAAAACCACAGAGAAAGACAAACCAAATGCTAACCACTCGGACACAGCAGCACTATTAGAACAGCATATATGATTGATGAATGAAATAAACAGGATGCCACTGTTAAAAGAACAACATATATGATTTTAGGATGCTAGAGCTATATCCTCTTTGTTAGAACAGCATATATGATTGTTAGGCTTGGACTTATATGTTGGGTAAATAGTACTCCATCCTGAGTTAAATTTCCATATTTTTACTTCGAACACAAAAGGAAACATGAATTTGTATGGTTGGGATTTATTTTTTAAGGAAAGACAAAAAAACACAACATCAACCATTTGAACCAAATGACTATTTCCTTGAGATGAATCACGAAGGACCATAAAGGGAAAAGATAAGAATAATTTGGGATAATAGGCTGAGGGGGAGTGCCTGCTACGCCAAATACTAAATAGAAAAGAAGGTTTGTAAACCCACTCGAGAGATAAAATCCACTTCTCTGATATTAATAAGCTCTAACGGGCCCGGATACGGCAAGAAACACATAAATAATGATGCATACTTGGTAACCGCGGTTTAGCTACCTAGAATCGTCACTCTAAAAATAACAATGTGAGTTCTATTAAATGCAGGTGACATACCTCAGAGGCATACACCAAATGATCCTAATATTGCAAGAACCGAAAATACTAGATTACATAATTCAGAAAAGGTCATGTTAACAATAGTGTGGGCTAGTTTTAGGTATTAATGAGTTTATTCCTCATCAAGAAGTACTCTTCGTGCTTTGTATTCCACCACAAATAATTCATAAACAAGATGAATATTTCTTGAAAAAAGAAAAAAAACCAGTAGAATTTTCTATCATCATAATGTTTAACAGTTTTTCTGATGTGTGAGATATAGAGCAATTAATATGTTTCTTTTAATTCTTCAAAAAGGGATTTGGTGATTCCAAGAAAAGAATAAATGTTACCTTAAAATTTGAAATGATTATCACTAAAAGTTATGCATTTATCACAATTCCCAAGTACTTATAACTTAGGATTATTATATGCAGACTACTCCATACAAATCATTTGTTCTATGGTTATAGTTACCATTCTTCTTAACAAGAAGTTTAGAGGAAATATGAAGGCTATAGTACCCAGGCTGGCGGCACATTTTGAAGCCGGAAGTGGTGAAACCGATGGCAATCTGGCCCTTGGCTCCCGCGTTTTTCACAAAGATCTCGAAATAGTAAACGAGTCTCTTCGAAGGAGCGGGCCTATTGGATTGGACGACGCCCACGTCGTGGCCGTGGAGGTTCTCTTTCGGGTAACAAACGGAGAGCTTGTCAGGCCCCACCACAGAGAACCCGCCGGAGCATTTCATGGTGTCTATCTCCGTCGGTATTTCCTCTTTCTCCTCATCCTCCTCCTGATCATCCAATCTCTGTACTGCTCTGGTCACCTCCGCGTCGGATTCGAAATTGGCGGCGGCGGCTTTAGAGTTCAGCCGCCATAGTTCTAAGAAGTAGGACTCTATCGTTTCTTGACATTGAGAGTGATTCATTTCTTCGGCCATTGCGGATGATTTAGTAGAGAATGATTCGGGTTTGAACCCTAGAAATTGAGATGAAGATGATGACAGGGGACTCTGTAGCGGAGGAGATGATCGGAAAAGCAATGGGGGTTTGGACCATGCTACAGTTACACCAACAAATATTGTACACCACCACAGGTTTGCACAAACATTTCGATGGTTTACACCGACACAAGTCGGTGCGTTAATAAAAATTCACACGAACACAAATGTTGGTGCGTTTAACAAAAATTACTTTTACACAACCACAAATTGGGGTACACATAACATAATCCATGGGGGTTTTCTTGAAAATGGGAAACAAGCATGCTGCAGACCAAAAATTTGTAACCCAACATTTTGAAGGTTACACTGACCCAAAGTGTTGATGCATTAACAAAAATTAACAATGATACAAATAGTTGTTGCGTTAACAAAAATTAGCATTACACCAACATAAAATGTTGGTACACACATGTGGTGTACAAATGGGATACAAATCATTGGACTACAAATAGATTTATCCAATAGGGAAAACCAAAAACCAACCATCGTCGTCTTTTTAGGGGGCTTTTTCAAAATGCTCTAAAAACGGAAGGAATTTATCATTCTACTCTAAAACGGATTGTATTTATTAGCCTACCCTTTCTATCAAAGTGAAATTACTCTCTAATCCTTCTCTCCTAAGCTGTTATCGCTAGGTTATCATTATCACACCCTTGTAGCAGCGGAGCGTTTTTACCCTAGCAAAGAAATTTGTTATTCTCGTTTCGGCGGCGCGCCATTTCTCATCGTTTTATATTCCAATCGATTAAATACTCTGACGCCTATCATCGGTTGCCGCTGTTCGCCGTTTCTTCCCTGCTGTTCGCCGTCTTTCGTTTGTTGCTACTAATCGGTGAAAGGCTCTTTCAACGTAGGTACACATTCATCTAATTTTACAGTAATGAATGTATAATTAACCATAGCCGGCGGAGAGCGAAACATTTTCAGTCGACACACACACACATAGATATATATATATATATATATATATATATATATATATATATATATATATATATATATATATATATATATATATATATATATATATATATATATATATATATATATATATATATATATATATTGTAAATTTTATATGTCGAGTGGATGTTGAGAAGCGTCGATCCACATATATCGACATTCTGATTTATGTTAGTGTCAGATTGTTACAATAATGTTAGCATAATTAAACATAGTTGGCACTCTAAAGTCGAGAACCGAGGGTCGACATTATTAAAGTCGGCGTATTAAGTCGCTCTAGACAACACTTCTCATCATCAATGAGTTGACATATATCTATATGTTTTTTACGATAGATTTTTTATCTGGATTTTATGTTTACAATTTTCGATGTACTTATATCGACAATCTGAATTAAGATTGTGTCGACGTATATAGATTGACACAATATTAATTCCACAGTAATAAGACGATTACATATTTAATTCCACAGTATCTGATTCAGTCGACATAATTGGCCGCTCTAGACAATACATGGCGTTATCATTTAGTCGACTTGTATTTCTACATTTTTTGGATTCTATGTTGACAATTTTTGATGTACTTATATCGACATTCTGAATTATGATTTTGTCGACGTATATAGATCGACACAGTAATAAGACGATTATATGTTTAATTCCACAGTATCTGATTCAGTCGACGTAATTGGCCGCTATAGACAATACATTCCATTATCATTGAGTTGGCTTGTATTTCTACGTTTTTTGGATTCTATGTTTACAATTTTCGATGTAATTATATCAACATTCTGAATTATGAGTGTGTCGACGTATATAGATCGACACAGTAATAAGACGATTAAATATTTAATTCCATTTTTGCAGCAGATGGACTCTCGCTCTCTTCTATCTCTCTTCATTCATTGTGGTGGTGATTGGGTTGAAAATGACAAAAGTAAAATCTAGTTTAAACGAAACAAGCAAAGTAAGACACAAGTGATCGAGTGAGAAAGATGTAATGAAGACTTCAATGCCCTTCTCATGTGTATTTGCACATGGGAAAGATGTAATGAAGACTTCAGTGCACTTCCTTGCACGTGTTGAAGGAGGCAAATAATGGAAGAGTATATATCCATTTAGAGGTCGAGGATGATGTTTGTTTTAAGTATGTTTTCGTAGCCTTTCATGCATGTACTTCAAGTTTCAAGTTCCTCACACAAGTAATCTCTGTTGATGGCACGTTTTGCAAAACACTTGAAAAAGGTGTTTTACTAATTGCCACAGCAGAGGATGGTGCCTTCCATCAGTATCTTCTTGCATGGGCCATCGTAGACTCTGAAAATAACGACTCCTACTCATATTTCTTCGGTCATCTTCGTCAATTAATCGAAGATTATCAACATTTGGTCTTCATTTCAAATAGGCATCCAAGCATCGAGAATGGTTTGAGAAAACATTATACTCTCGCAGACTACGAGTACTGTCGATATCATATTCACTGTAATTTAAAAGGTCCATTAGGAAAGAAGAACAAAGATGGTTTAAAGCTATTTGATCATCTTTCAAATGCCTACACGAAGAGGTCTTTTGATAGGATTTTTAAGTAATTTGAGGACAAGTATCCTTTTGGGCTAGGTACATAAGTAGTATTCTGAAGGAAAGGCGGGCAAGGGATTTTTTCAAGACAAACCGTTATAATATAATGACGACAAATGGGACAGAGAGCGTTAAGAGTGTCCTACAACACACCAAAACACTACCCATCCTAGCACTGTTGAACGGAATGCAATCGAAGACTGCCGAGTGGCGGGGGAAATGACATACAGAGTTGAATACTCTAGAAAACTATAGCAGTCCGCTCACTCCAGATGCAGAAGCATACGTTCGTAGGCGGTACCCTACTGCTTTGAAGCTTTCGAGCATGCGTTTGGGCAAATAAAAGTGGTTGCAGGCTCTCCAAAGGATGGTCTACTTTTGTGAATGACAATGGGTTAAGGCTTGGGGATAAGGTTGTGCTTACCTTCATTGCAAAAAAATAATCATTGTTTATGCTTTTCGCCATCGTAGGCTTACTTAATTATTAAAACTGTTACAACGCTTTAATATTTGGTGGTTTTTCTTGTTTATATTTTTATTATGATTACAATCATTTTTTTCCTTGTTTATATTGTTGTTTTCTTAATCATTTTTTTCCCAAAGCCAACCTAGTAGACCTGTTTTCAAAAATACATTAATTCAAATGGATTGTTTTGGACATGTCAGGTCGATCTTTTTAAAATAGCAATCAACCTTGTTAAAACTATATCAAAAAAATGAAAATGTTTTGTTATTTAGGTCGACCCGAGAATATCTAATTTCAAAAATTCTCAATTTGGTCCCACTTTTATAATCATTTTGAGAAAAAAATCGCAATCGACCCTTTTAAAACTAATCGGGCAATCAAGGATTTAGAATTGTCTTGTTATACTAGTCGAATAAACTTACCCACATATTGGTCGACTGAACCTATTAGTCGACCAAATATGTGATTTAATTTTTAAATCGATATGCGCAGGTACTAAAACATTAATTTTATTTCTTTGATTAAACTTGTAAGGCAAGTAGTAGACCAGATTGTGAAATCATGGTTTTGTTATAATTTTGAAAAAAGCTAGTACCCCCCCTATAATTTTTAGTTTAAATTTGAAATTTCAACTATTGAAATTTTTTAATGGAGCAGTATTTTAAGTTATGTGGGGCCATCATAAATGCATTCAAACTTTATCTGTTTGATATACCCTCATCGGTCACATCAAATCCTTTCAACTACTCCTCTATCTCATGAGAAGCATAAATATACTCATTCTGTCAAAATTCTAATTACAATTTTACAATCATGAGGCAAACCCCAAATTTTTTAAAATAATGTTATTTAAGAATTGAAAAGTAGTACAAAAATGAAAAGTAGTACGGTTCTGTACAAATCAACAATGTACAAAACGATCAAAATAATAATTGAAAAGTATTCACTCTTGATCGACCCATATGTCGGTTGACCTGTATGATGAACTTTTTATCCATTGTTGTTTGGTCGATTTCCCAGAATGTTAACTACCTCCACACCATCCCAATATGAAATAAGGAAAAATATTATTGGATGGATTGGTAGGTCATGTCTACTTATGGAATTGAAATTGAATTATATAACTGGTCGATTGGAAACTTTTACGCTAAAAAGTCGACTACGACAACCTTTTATCGACATATCGAAACAAAACCATGAACCTTATTGAATTAGATGTTTACTAAAATGAAATGGGGGTTTACCAAAATGAACATATCGAATCTGTTTCGGGTTCAATATCAGGATCTGTTTCTTGCGTGTTTTCTTCTGCTTCTGGTTCTTCTTGTGTATTTTTGTTGCAAGTCTGTGTTGTATGTCCCTTGTTATGATATTCAGAGCAGGTCAAATCCGAAGTCCTTCTGTTCTCTCCCGCTGATGGAATGCGCTTTGTTTGTGCCCCCCCCCCTTTTCTTTTCATTTTTGGTGGTTTTACATGCTGGAGTTCTAGACCATTGGCAGACTACTCCTCATATGCCGGTACTGGATATATTGTTTCTCGGTATGCTAAATGGACGTGAGTTTTGGTGTACCTAATCACAAAGGTCGTACGCATTTATCTACGGTTCCCTCGTGATATCATCCGTCAAGCATGCTAATGCATAAACGCAAGGAATTTTGTCCAGGTCAAATACGCGGCAAGTGCAAGTTCACAACATGATCCAATGTTACTCCTTGGACTTGAAATTTATCGTTGATAGAGAGGGTGACTTCATTGGGAGACATTGCCGGGCCGAACAACTGGATCTTCATTTTGCCCTCAGAAATTTCGTTGTCGGAGCAAAAAGACCTTGGCAACTCCTGAAACGAGACATTAAAAAACCTAAAAGGAAATTCTATCAATGAGAAGGCATTTAAGAAGATAAAATATTCAAACACGCCAAATATGACTCCTTGGGGATAACATTATGCGCCTCCAGTTTATGAACAAATGAACCTTCTACATCATCATCATCACTTGCAAAACAACAAAATATGAATCATTCTACAAAATATCTTTCATTTATGATTACACTCGTGACTTGTTCATATACATATATTTTTACCTGAATTATAATCTGGATACCGCTACTAAATTATAAGAAAAGACTAAGAAAATTATCTAAGTCTTGAATGAAGAAATTCTACCCGTTGGTAAGGAAAAATCAATCTCTTGATTTTCAACGGCTAGATTGAAGATAATTATGCTCATTCAAGAACAAATGACTCGAAGACAAAGTCTGGACCTCTAAAAATTGAAGAACCTGTCCAGAATTCCTAAACAAGCACTAGAAGACAAACAGAGTAAAGTTCTACAGTCCAGAATACTTGAACAACAGCTAGAAGATGGATTCTATGGAAAAAGGAATCTCTCCTTTAACAATTGGGTATGTCCAAACACCCATTCCAATGAGGAATCTTCAAATCACAATCTTCATTCAAAATTGAAGCCAGCAAATGCAACGGATAGTCTATTTTGATTCAACGGATAGATTACGCAATCCAGCTATAAATAGCATCCTTGGAAGAATGAAAAAAAGGAGATATAACAACTCATCAATGATAAGAAGAACAAGCACAAGAGGCTACCTCATTCACAGTTAGTCCAAAAAGCTTGATAAAGAGAGATTTCTAAACTCCTTATCCAGAAGCAAACTTCTCCTCCTTCCAAAAAGCTATAGTGTAAATACTTGAAGGTTTCCTTGCCTCAAGTACCACACCACATTGAAGATACAACTTTTGATCAAACTTATTGATTGAAAGGGGGTAGGTCAACTTTCTTACAAGTTGGTCTTGCAAGTCCTATTGTTCGGACCTTGCAGTTGTTGAAGAAGCGTGACCTTCGAAGAAACAACAAAGCCAGCACGAGTGCAGTAGCAACATTGGCCTTGCGAAGATATACCGTACAGAAATTCACACAAGTGTATTTGTTGGTTCATTATTCAACAACCAACTACATAGTGGATTTTGAGGACGTAGAAGGATTACCCCACCTTCGAACCTCGTTAAAGTTTGCGTGTCTCTCTCTTTTATCTTTATTCTTACTTGCAATTATATTAACTGAGAAAACTAACCCATCCCTATTGATTACTGCTCACTCTACCCATCAACTTTCGCACATAATCTAAAGTTCACAAGAACTCTAGATTAACACTTATTTTCACGTGTTCAAAAGAAACGAAAAAGTTTGTAAATTTGTAACAAACTCTATTCCCCCCCTCTAGACTTTGTAACTCACCACTTCGGGACCACCAACACTCATATACCGCTACTGAATTATAATCTGGAATGGGTGTTTGGACATACCCAATTGTTAAAGGAGAGATTCCTTTTTCCATAGAATCCGTCTTCTAGCTGTTGTTCAAGTATTCTGGACTGTAGAACTTTACTCTGTTTGTCTTCTAGTGCTTGTTTAGGAATTCTGGACAGGTTCTTCAATTTTTAGAGGTCCAGACTTTGTCTTCGAGTCATTTGTTTTAGAATGAGCATAATTATCTTCAATCTAGCCGTTGAAAATCAAGAGATTGATTTTTCCTTACCAACGGGTAGAATTTCTTCATTCAAGACTTAGATAATTTTCTTAGTCTTTTCTTACTTGTCCGCTTTTTGAGAATTCCGGTCTTCCCTGAGGCATCCGGTTCTTAGCTGACAAATCCGGAAGAGTCATACTCAGTCTTCCTGGTGAGAAAGAAATCCGCGCTAGTCTTCCGACTTAGCCTTCAGCGGGTTGTAACGAGACATCCGGTTCTCATGTAATATTCCAGATAGGAGGATTTTTGTCTGCTTTGAGAAATCCTTACTTGTCTCTGATATTTCCGATCAAGATATCCAATTTCCAAAATTTCTGAATTTGATTAAGTCTTCAGGCATCAAACCATTTAAAGAGATATCACAACTTAATTGGAAATCTCAAGAACTTGGTTTTAACAATATTTCTAAAAATTACATTGAATATCTGGGGAGACCTAAAGTCTCTATTACATTCTAAATACATCATCATCAAAATCTATGATATTTTCCCAACAACTTCCTCCTTTTTGATGATGATAAACAAGTGTTTAAGAGTTCCGTTCGCTGTACTGAGAACTAATTTTGTAACTTTCTTTTAGTTTCTCATAATATACAGCTTGTTAACAAAAACTCTTAAACAAATACAATTCAAATTACAATAATTCCTAAACCAAGTCTTGTCTTGAGATTTTGTGATCTCTTTCGCCATGGACCGTTTTCAGCTTCAGCAGATTCTGCTTGGCGGAGCGGTTGCCGTGCGTTTGATAGATCTTTAATATCCAAAGTGGATATTTAAGATCTTGGAAGCAACACATCTCTCAAAATAAGAAGAAAGATAGAGAGAGTGTTGTTCCAGAGAAGGTGTATGGTGTAATCCTGAAAAATACGAGATTTTCACCATAGACCTTCTCTACTGCCGAGATTCTCACCATAGACCTTGAAAGTCTTTTCTTCTTAATAGGCTTCTTCCATTGCCGTCTATGAGGGTGAGAAAGAAAAATTTCTCTATTGAGGATATTTTTCTTGGTGTGTTTCTTAGACAGTGAGTTTGAAGATTTTTCATATTGAAAGAGCTGTTTGTGATAGGAATGGATTGAGATATATTGATTTAAATAGGAGAGGAGGTAGAGAGAGGGGAGGTTCACGGGTTCCATTAATTGGGTAGATGGAACGGTGAAAGTAAAAGAGTTTCAACTTCCAAGAAGTTGAAAAGTAGAAGGAATCTTTTACCAATTACCAATGAATTGAAACTGTTCCAATTTGAAAATCAGTTTCGTTTGGTTTGAGAACCATAACTGTTTCAATTTTGGCTAAGCCCAAAAGAGTGGCCCAAAAAGAAAAGAAAGCTATGTACTAAAGGGAAATTATTCCTATTGGGTTCTCAAGGCCCAAAATAAAGGTATCATTTTTCATTCCCTATAGTTCTAATTTCTACTTAGGACGAGGTAGTACCAAAACAAATATGAATTTTATTTTTAAAAGAAAAGTGGTACTATTTTTCCAAAGTCCTGTACATTCTAAAAATCCTAAGGACCAGTACTTTTAGAGCTTGTTGGAAATGAATTAAGGACTGAAGCTTAGTTTAAGAAGATAGATTTTGTAAAGTACCTGAATCGGAGATTTCCAATTTTAGTCCCAAAACTGAGATATCCGTCTTCCATTGCTTAGAGCTTATCAATAATTCATTGCCAAAAACAATTGTTAGCCAAAAACTAGTTAAGTTCCCCCTGAATTACATTCCCCCTGAATGTATGCGCTAGGAGTAATTCTCAAAAACATACTTGAATTAGGTATAATCAAGCATAGTGAGCACAATTAAGAGAAATATTAAGGCAATGTTTAAACCAATAGAGCAATGTTTAAACAAGAAGGTGTTTTCATCAAAGCAAATTAATGTTTTCACATACTTTCCCCCTGATTTGATGAAGAAAACCTTCAGTGCTTCTTGCGCTCTGAAGATTCGACAATCTCCCTGATGCCTTCCATGCTTCCACATAGTTCCTTGATGCGCCTTATGTTGTTCCGTCTCTCCTCTGTTTGATTTTCATTTGAGAAGTGAGCAGCAATTGTTCCTACAGCCTCTGTTCCATCCAATCCGGAGCTGGATAAGCGCTGTGTTGAGTTTTCCGGATTGCTTCTCTGAGCTTCAAGGACTAGATCAGTCAAGTTTAGATGCGTAGGAATGTAAGAGACTTCTCCTTCTTTGACTGCAATGGGAAGCTCTGGAATCAAGGATGGACTGTGTTGTTGAAGAACCACTTCCATCTTGCGATTTCCAGAATTTGTGGTAAGAAGTCTGAATAGTTTGTTTTCTTCCTTCTGATTGTCAATGATTACCTTCAAGTAGTCTTTGGTTACTACTTGATTTGCTGAAGACAGTGCCAGAGCTGCTCTAATGTCCATTTGGAGAATGGACATTTGTTTTTGTAGACTGATTGTGACATTTGCTATTTGCTCTCTGATGTTGTTAGCCTCCTTGAGTTGAAGATAACTATCAGATGCATATGTCTCCATCGTGTTGCTCACAGTGTTACTCAATAGAGATAAGATCTCTAGAGTCTTATCCATTGATTTGCTTATCTCCTTGAGATTGGAGCAATGTGTTTCTTCGGATTTCTCAATCAGTTTGTTGTGCCTGGCTTCCATCTGCTCTATCTCTTGCCTAAAGGAGGCATGTTGAGATGCTAGGGCTGAGTCAATCAGCCCTTGGACCTTCTTTGTCCAGATTTTCGGTACCTCATCCAGAAGAGTAAGAATGGAAGAGCTATGGAAATGGAAGTTGGTTACCTGATGAGAAGAGAGAGTTCTTTGGAAGAGTTGCATAGGAAGAGATTCAGCATCATCTTGTACATCTTCTTCATCATTGATCTTCAGGGTCCTTTCAGATTCTTCTTCTGCTTCCCCAAGTGTGAAGTTTGATATATCCCGAGAGAGGGAGTCTCTTTCTTCAGCTTCATTCTGTCCTTCAAAAATGGCTACTGGAGATTTGGAGGCCTCCAGTTCTGCCATTTGAGTTTCCTTCTCAGCTTCTGCAGAGCTTCTCTGGGCTTCTACAGCTTGCCCTTCTTGAGCTTCATATGTTTCTGGAGTTTTGGACATCTCCAGATTTTCTGTTGACTCCTCCGGGATCTCTGCTTCAGTAGGATTGGTGATCTCATAAGGATTTGTGAGAATCTCTAAAGCTTCAGAATGAAGAAGTTGCTGGAATTCTTCATTTGATCCTTCCTGGTTCTGTTTTTGTGGTGTAGAGACTTCAGCTTCAGGTGGAACAGTTTCAAAGGCAGATGAGGCTTCCGGAAATATTTGGAAATCCTAAGCTGTTGTTTCCAAGTTAGCCTGTGCTTCAGAAGTGAGAACCACCTGATCTTCTGTGGTTTTTGAGAGGACTGGTTTGTATACTGCAGGATCTTCATCATCCACTTCAAACTCTGAAATTGGTGAGTTGACCAAGTGTTCCAGATACAAATCTTCATAGTTCCTTTGCCATACCCAGTCAACATCCAGGATTTGCTCACAGCAATAGTTGACTGGCAGACCTAAGCATTTCTTGAGGATCTTCTCATTCTTCAATTGCTGGTCCCAACTCAGCAACTGTTCTGCTGAATTTCCAACTTTCCAAGCTCTCCAGTCATAGTAGAGCTTCCAGAATTGATTCTCAACATCATCTACTTGAGGTTGTGAGGAAGTTGGAGAATTCTGAACTTGAGGAATTTCTTCTTCAAGTTGTTGAGGACTCCGGTTGTGAGCAGAGGTTTCCTCAGTTGGTTCTTTCTCCTTCAACTCATCCGGATTGACATGTCCAGATGTTGAGGGAGAGGTGATCTTCCCCTTCTTTTTCCTTTGTAGTTCTCCTTGGTCAGAAGATTCTTCTTCTTCTTCAAGATTGATTGGAGCAAGATTCTGTGGTGCTTCAGCACTGGGAGAGGGAGACACCACTTGCTTCCTCTTTACTGATTTGTTCAGACTCATGATAAGGACATTGTCTGAAGAACTTTCCTCTGCAGTTGTGCTAGCACCAGCTCTGTTTTCCCCTTTGGAAGACAGATAGTACAGCCAATATTTGGCTTCATACTTCTTTCCTTCAGAAGCTGCACCCAAGGGCTCCAAGATATGTCCAATGTACAGACCTTGACACAGGTATTTCTGGTTGGGTTTTCCCAGGTGCTTTGAGATGGAATTGAAGAAATGAGCAGCCCAATTTACCTTAGACTTGGTAATGAGGGCATTGATGATGAAGGCCCTCTCTTGGGTGATGTCATCAGCATGTCCTCCACTTGCACATTGGAGGCATGCGATGACCAGTTCAAGGACTAGCTTGTAGTCGTTGTTCAGATGAGCTTTCTTCGCTGGGCCAGAGAGATTTTGCCCAGAAATTCCAATAATGCTCCAATCCAGATTCTTGGCTGGAAGTCTCCCAATTTCAACTCCAGAATTGGGAAGGTGAAGCTTTTCTCCCAATTTCTTCTGCGAAAGTTTCACTTTTGTCCCTCCAACAGTGGAATTGATGACTTGAATCGTCCTTTGTGGGTCCTTCTTCGATTTGACAGTCTTGACCTTTCCATTTTTATAGAATTCAAGAACTTCGTTCTCATACTTGAATCGAATCTCCATATGAAGAAATTCGGAGAGCTCTTGAGCAGCAATCATCTCCAGATAGGTTTGATAGAACGTTGATGAGGAGCACTTGGCTTCCAACTTCTGGAAATGGATATTAGCGCCAACAATCTTCATTTTCTCAGAAATTTGAGTAGATCTGAAGAAATTAGGGTTCTTGAGAATTTTATCAGAAGATTCTTGTGAAGAAGACGATGAAAGATTTGAGTGGGCTGAGTGGGCAGTTGAGGTCTGATTATATTGACGATTGGGTTTAATGTGGGCGACTTATGCGGCTAGTGGCGATTGGGTTTTTAACTGTTCCCAAGGCCACGTCCCCACCCACCATTTTGACAGACGTGGAAAATGAACTGCCACGTGTACCACACTCAGTCTAATTGAATTAGACCAATTTTGTGAAGCAAATCGGAAAACTTGGCTTCACTTAGTGGTTTGGTGAAGATATCCGCCAGTTGTTCTTCAGTTGAGATATACTCAATTTTGATATCTTTCTTTTCCACATGCTCTCTGATGAAGTGATGCTTGACATCAATGTGCTTAGTGCGAGAATGATGCACTGGATTTTGTGAGATGGCTATAGCACTTTGATTGTCACA